CCCCCCCCCCCCCACAACCCCTTATGTGACACTTTTGAAAACGTAAAATCGTTCGTGACACAGTTCATTGTGTCACATTCCTAACACATGCTTGTCTTGAAATCGGACTTTGCCAGATGTTTTGCCTCGAAGTGAGAAGTTTTGATCAGATCATCAGGTCATTTGCAAATAATTGCGAGAAAAAGCAAGTTGCAAAGAATAGCAAGACTTTGTGTCGGCTCGACACTTTAAAACAAAATAACCAAATAAACAAGCGAGCTAATAAGACACGATAAAATTTCCCATCTCAGCAACACTCCTCGAGACAGGATTTGGAGTTGTATGACTTTAGCGTGCGCAGTATAGGTGTCATCACGGGATTGTCATTTGGTCACGTGATATCAAAAACTGTAATTAGTCTTCACATTCTTTTCCTTAAAAATAAAATAACTCAGTTTTTGAAGAAAACATGTGTTCTCTTCGTGAAGATAAAAAAAAATGTTAAATAAATATTTAAATAAATCACATCACATATCATTTTCCTTTCAGTCCGTGACAAGCCTTGTTGTGATTTCGTGACAAAATAATGTTTACATCAAAACGAGAGTCATCATTGCCGCTGCATGAGACTCACATGATTTGATGTGTATAGCGGCTCGTCTGTCTGGCTTTCGAACATGAGATTTTTATTTTCTTGCGAATCCTAGAAGTGTATGGAAGTGTTGACACGACAAGGTAAGCTTTTGAAAGCGTCTTAAAGTGAATTAGTGTTAAGGTTAGATAACTGTACAATGCTTTGCCCGCAAAACAGCGGGCTTGTAAATTGAATTTTTTAGGCGGCGATTATGAAAATTCGATCAGTGCTGTTTTGACGTGAGTAGGCGCTCTGTAGTCTTGCACACTGGAGACTCAAACCTTTCGGCCAAGAACTTGCGTTGTCGGTTGGTAATGAATTGAACGGTGATGGAAGAAGGAAGGACATCAACGAGAAGGACATCAGCGAGAAGTTATGAACAATGCAGGTGGATAATTTCCGCATGCAAACGAAACAACGCGTACAGTTCAATTCATAAATGGATGAAACCTTCAATTTAGGTAGCCTAGAATTGTTAAGGTTTCTTATTTTGCTTTGTTCACCGAGGGTCGTGGATACAAGGTCAAAGCGATCAAGGTAGAGAAATATTGTTTGCCGCCCGCTACGCGTGATAAACTCAAGAATCCCAAAATAGCACTTAACTTAGCGGAACATGATATTAGAAAACACTTGCTTGATTTTTTCCCCATCACTCTCCTAGCACGATTTTTTTCTCAGCAGTTTTTGTTGTGCATAAATTTTTTTGGCAAAATTACCCAAGCCTCCACCCCCACCCACCCCCATTGAAATAATTAAATTATGTCACAATGTTACAACTTTTAGAGGCAAAACAACATCAAGAAGAAAATCGTTCAATCATTACATAAGAAAAAAAATTAATTCCCTAAAGAGAAAAATTTCACTGTTTGGGAACTGTTTGGCCACCATTGCATTTAGAAGCACAAAGGTGTTACCAAAATACGTAACATACTAAAGAGTATTAAACGCATCTGATAATTAATAGCAACACTCAGTATTATAAGGGTGTTCAAAGTAATTGTTTCCTCAAGGGATTACTCAGTGACCTCAGCATCACAAGGTATTCACAAGGGTTTATATGCATGGCCCATTTATGGCCCTTTCTCTGTCACCCTCCTGAGAGCACACCCTCGAGTGTTGCGTGACATAGAGGCAGGGGGGGGGGGAGCTTGCACTGTTTCAAAAAGTATCACAAACTTTATAAGCATAATTTTTTAGGCTGTCATTTGTAGCCAAAATTGTATTGCAAGGGCTAAATGGATGTCCTATACATTTAACAGAACAGCCTTTCACAAGGTGACATGTATCAAAAAAATTGAAGATGGATTGAGTTTCAAGGGGTAAACTAATATGTTAGTTCCAGCAACTGTAATGTTTGTAGTGTGTTTACATTTCTGTGTTTCTTGAATGTACCATAATGATATATTTGCGTTTACTGCGATACGTAAATTGTGATTGAAAGAAGCTGTACTAGAGTATCTAAGTTCTCATTTTCTTTGATTCCTAGCCATCCAGTAACACTCCTACGTGCATATGCAAGATGTCAAATTCAGATGAACATTCTCCATTACTCTCAGAGAACAATGATCGCCTTTCCACGTCTCATGGGCCCAGCAGTAACTCTTCTGTTAGCAGTCAGACTATGGGATGTGCCCGAAAGTTCCTGGTAGTCATTTGCATTCTTGTAACAGAGCTATGTGAGCGCCTCACCTTCTATGGTGTGACAGCAAATCTACTGTTGTTCAGCAGCAATGAGTTAAATCTTCATCCTCCTTGGCCATCAGTTGTCAGTTATTTGTTTACAGGTTGGTGCATTAACTTTTGTGTTTAGAATGTAACTATACAGTCAAACCTCCCATACGCAACCACCCAAAATGTTAAGCATACTGTAGGTGGTCGCTTACAGGAGGTGGTTGCTTAAGAGGGCTTAGCCCATATTGGATCAAAATTTTGCCTCATTAGTATATGGTAACTGCAGAGACTTACCCATGTCTAAAATGTTTTAGTCAAGTGAAAAGTCAATTTTGAGAAAAAAAAAATCCGGTACTTTCTGTCTCTTGTTCTACCCAGGAGTGCAATAATGTTACAATACCTTATTATCCAATTTTTGTTCTATTTATCTGTCGTGGTCACTTATGGGAGGTTAAAACCAAAAGAAAATCTCAAATTTAACTCTAAAAGTGGTCCCAGCCGCTTACAAGAGGTGTCGCTTATAAGAGGTTCGACATAGTGATCTGACTTGGAAACCTTTGGTATTGTGGAAAACTAGTTGCTGAGCTAGGAGAAGTGGTCCCTTACAAGAGGTGGCCGCAACCAGAGGTTTGACTGTATTTTATATGTTATATGTTAATTGTGTTGGGAAATACCAAAAACATAAACTCATAACCATAATAGCTACAGAATAAGTGCCAGCACCCCCATTCCCCCTTTCAATGTTGGAAAATAGTAAAATGAAAACTTGTGTCAGATGAAAGTGTTTTGTCAACATTGCACAGGGGAGGGGAGGGGCAAAATGCATATAAAATGAATTTTTCCAACTCTTGTGACCAAGATTGTAACTTTCCATCCAGAATTAGAGTTGAAGGCTAAATGAAGCTAAAAATGGTACACTTGTATTTATCACACCCAGTGATAAGAGGTAATATTAGAGTGATATACATGTACTCCCAGAAAAATCGGGTGGGGGTATGTGGCCTGCTTCCCATAACCATACCCTATTTGAGACCAAAAAGTGTGATTTTCTCTATCCTATTAATGACCTGACCAAAAATTAGATACCCCTTTCAAGGCCTGACCATAATAATTCAATACCCCTGATTCAGACCTGCCTTATAATTAGTTCCCAAGTTCAGACCAATTTTAAAGGCATTGTGAAGGGCTTTTGTTGATGGTCTTATCTATGTTATTATAAAAAAGTAGCTTCTTCTAACAAAAAAACCTGAATTCAAAACAAGAGTGCAAAAACCATACCCCACAAACTGCATTAAGGACCAAAATGACCAAAATCGATACCCTATTTATGACCAAGACAGCTAAAAAACCATGCCCTTTGGGCTACACATACCTATATATTTAGCCCATACTACAGTTTACCTAGATGGTAGGAAATGCTGCCAAAGGGAAGAAGGATGTAAGGAGTGTCAGTGCAGAGCAGGGTTATTCCCATACAGAACTCAGGATTGTCGGTAACAGTAACAAACTGGCTTATTTAACTTCTCGATTACAGCACTCAGCTGTATGCAGCACTAAGCCTCATTACATTTCTATTGTTCTGGAGTTTCCAGAAACTTCTCAAAGGAATTAAATAGCATTGTTGCAAGAATTCTAAATTCAAATATTGCATGAGAAATACAACATTCCAAACGATTTTAGGTCACAGCTGAATGACTTCCGGTTCCAGATATTTAATAACATCAACAAGCCCTAATTTTTGCGAAGGATTTGAATGAAGTATATTCTTCCCCCGTCTGATTCCAAAATGTTGAGTAAAGTTGTGCAGATAAAATATATAAACAGTACTTGTAAAATCTATGATTTTTTAAATAACATTAACTTCAACAGATTGCAAATAACCCTTGATGATTATAGGGAACTCTGCTTCAAACTATAAAACAGATGCCTGGTTATAAATCAAAATTTTACTTTTTAGACACAATTAAACATCATCGATAGCAGTACAAAAAAAGAGTTAAAAAAGGAAAACAGGAACGATAAGAGAAGCGTCCAAAATAGCAATAAGCACAGCAGAAAACTGTCACTCACCTTCGTACACTGCAACCAACGATGCAAGAGAGAGAGCACAAGATCAGACAGCACATCTTAATTCTGCCATTCATGCAGAATTAAGATGATCTTAATTTGATCTTACTGCTACCACAATTCCTTGCATTTTGCAATAACATGTTCAAGGCCCCTACAATGTGACCTTCTCCTGATTAGAGAGCTGCCTCGTTCGTTTGCTTCAGGCTTACTCACTGCAGCAGCAATAAGAGATAAGCTCCCCCCCCCCCTCTTCTGGCCTTATTTATGACACCTCTTAGTAAGTCATTTTTACAAATTCTTCATCAATGGCCTGAGGTGGAGAAATATGTCCATTGGTGGTGATATCAAGGCACGATGTATTTGAGAGATTGTAATTAACTTAACCAGGAATGACTGAACTGTAATTTAAATATAATTTCTCCTGATGATCTTGGAAAATTTAGTCTTCGTACATGTAGTATGTCCAAGATGTATTTCCTCAAACTTTTTTTTAAGTTGTCTCTTGTCTTTCAGGAACATGCTATCTTGTTCCCCTTCTGGCGGGATGGCTGGCCGACACGTACACGGGCCGGTTCAACATGATTTATGGAAGCTCTTTGCTCTATGTTGTGGGAACTCTTCTCCTGGCTGCAGTTTCCATGGGGAATGATATGATTCATACATTATTTCATACCAAAGCCACTCATAATGAAACAATGAGACTGATATACTTCGGACTGGCCCTGCTAATGATCGCATTCGGCACAGGAGGAATCAAGGCCAATGTCTCACCGTTTGGAGCAGACCAAGTTAGACAGAATGGACAAAGGGCTGTTCAAACATTCTTCAACTGGTTTTACTTTTTTATCAATGTTGGATCTTTAGTAGCCTTTACAGTGGTTGTGGCAGTACAACAATCAGATGTGTTTTATGGTTATTGCATCACAGCTGGTTCAATGTTTCTTGCTGTAATTGTGTTTCTTGTTGGTCGTAACCAATACTTAACCAAACCGCCAGGAGGCAGCCAACTCACTGAAACAGCAAAAATAATCTGTGAAGCAGTGCGAAATCGAAAGCAGAATGCAGGGACCTGGCTGGAGGGGGCAAAGAGGAGATATGGAGGGAAGTTCAGTGAGGAAGAAGTTGAAGATGTCAAGGCACTGTTGAGAGTTATTGCTATCTTTGGTCTGTTCATTGTTTACTGGACAATCTACACACAGGTTGGAATTTCAATTTCTCTTTTCATTCAACAAGATCTACACATTTATTATCAAGTATAGAATGCATTTACTAATGGTGTGGCCAGGATTTCCAGGTCTTGAGAGCATGTTCCTTCCCCTCCCTTAACCCACTGTAATGTAGAATTCAGTCTGGTCAAATTATACACGGCTAGGGCTGATTACATGTAGTATCACAATATCACTTCTTTTGAAGTATATATGAAATAATTCATATTGAACTGCGGTAGTAGATGAAAGTGAAGTATGATCATCGCAGTAAATTTTCCAATTTAAGCAACTGGAAAG